GCAAAGCAGTAAGTAGTTGTTGATGATTTCTTTATAGATTGCTGTTGAGTAAATTCAAATTTAATGTACGTGATCAAAGAAATCCCTAGCCAATGTCATTTTAACATCTTTTTGGAGTGGTGAGGAACCCTTTAGAAACTATTTGGGGTGGGTTTTGAAAGTTTCTTGTGACGATTCCACTGCTTTTGAATGTGGTGCCTTAGGTAAAGTTCTTTGCCTAGATTTCTGTTACAGCAACACCAAACATAGCAGTGAAAGTGAAGAGCAGTGGCTATGCAGATTTAGTAACGAGTTTCCTCTACAGCAAAGTTGTGATTAATTACTGTTTCTTCTTAGTTACCTATCTTGGGCTGTGAGATTTTTTCCCAATAATTCATCATTTATTATAGCAATGCCTAGTAAGAACTAGCTTTTGATATCTCTAGGCATACTTAAAAAAAAACCCAAACAGTTTGATTACTTACTGATCATGTTGAAGATGGAATCTGAGCAAAATGCCTCCCCCCGGGCCCATTCAGCATAGCCGACTAACAGTGTGCAGTGCTCAGAGAAATGAATATGCCAAGACCCAGCAAGTGAAGTAGGTGCTAACCTATGTAGTATGTAACTGTGTTTGAAGTTTTAAAAGGCAGTGTGTCTCCTTGCAAGTCTTGCTCCATTTACTTGCTCAACTGGTGTATTTCTGGACCGATTGGCTGAGAGAAGGGGAAATGTTTAATCTTTGAGTTGTTTGAATACCTTCAGTTTTGGGAGGTATGCTGTGAGTTAAAGTTAGGGGGAGAATGCTGAGGGTGACTAGTGCAGTGCTAGGTGTTTAGTCTCCCACTGAACAGACTATTAAAAACTATGAAAACTTCAGGTAGGTAATAGGAGGATTTGCACTTTATTAGCTGCTGTGCTTTTATGTGTAGCCTGAATCACAAAATGGGTGTCAAATTGATTTCCAACTAGATGAAGGTGACATTTTAAGTTAATCTATAGGAGGCCATTGACTCACAGACCACAGTTCGCTGTGGTTATGCTTATGTTACTCTGTTAAATAGATACAGATCATTTTTATGATACTGTATGCTCATCACTACAAAGTTTAGGTTTTTTTATAACTGAAGAAATACAGCATGGACTGTCATGTGGAATTCCATATTATAGCAGTATCCTAGAAATCCCTTTCTACTTTGATTACTTTCATGTGGAAAAATTCAATTACTACTCTTTGTATTTATGTCTCATATAGTGAAAACTTTAGTAGTGAAAGCACAAAAACGGGACTGGCAATCTTACTGTTCTTAAAAACCAAAAAAGAATTAGAGCAGAGATGGTAACAGTTGTCTTTCTTCCATGCAAGTGCAGGGAACACAGGCAAAACAGTTGATGATGGAGTTAGCTTCTTCTGTAGCAATGTGTTAACTATTCTCTTTGGCTGCATTTAGGCTGAATGCCATCTGGGGCAGTGGCTGTCCATCAAATTATTGTGTGCACAATGATGCTCGTCCGAGTGGCCACCATGCTTAGCTTGAATCAAGCAATTTGATCCAGCTCTTTTCAGTGTGGCCTTTGGCCCATGATTGAATGCTGAGCTTTAGCCAAACAATTGTATATAGTACCAGTGTTTCAAGTCATGAGAGGGTGGTCAGGGCAGAACATAAGGTAAGAGTTTTCAGACTAGCTAAAAACAGTAATTTACTTTCTCTGCTCTAACTTTCTCATGTTATAAATGACAGCATTAAGGCTTCTTAAAATAGGAATTATGGAATATAATGAGGAGGTGAAATCAAACCCTGAATTTGTAAAATACAGTCATAAAAAGATACACATCACTAACCAGATTGCTGGAGCAGACTCACTTCTCTATTACTGTCGTGCGTACTCATACCATAAAAAGTTACATTGGACAGATACATAAAGTTCTTGCCAGCCCTTAGAGTTCATGTTTGGGTTTGTTTTGTTTTTTATAAAAACCTCACATTTTGTTCAACTAACTTTTATACAATTTCAGTGCTTTTCACGAGGAAAGAAAATCTGGGTTGTGCTGTGTGAATGGTAGTGGAGTGTGAGATAAAGGAGTCCCATTTAGGACAGAAAGAGAAGTGATAGGAGTGTTGTGAAGCCCATGCTGATGGACAGGCCAGTGCAGATAGATTCCACAGAAGTGTAGGGATCCTCCCACTTGTTGAGTAATCCAATTTGTAAGCTCAGGCCTGGCTAAGAAAAATACTTCCAACCTTTGTTCCAGCCCTGACTTACCTCTCATTTACCATTGAGTGAGAGCAGTTAGCGCACTGCGGCTGATATGGTTGGGTGTACGCATATCGGAATATGTCAGGTTACTTGGCAAGTACGCAAATCCCAGATCACTCTGAAGAGTTTAACTCTGCTGCAGCATCATGGTGAGGAGGAGTATCTTGCATTTGAGGAAATAAGTGCAGCTCTATATCAGTACAGGATTTTGTCAACACAAATCAGCTTTGCTCACAGTTGCATGACAAGATGAGAAGCAGCACTATTGCATCAGGGTTTTTTTGTTTGTTTTTTTGAGAGGCAAAAATTGGAAGCTGGATTTTTTTTTTTCTTTTTCTTTGGGATAGTACTTATTAACTGGTTGGGAAAGAGGATCTTAAAATAACCTAGATTGTTAACATTGCACACTAAATTTAAAACCTCAGAACTTGTTAAAATTATCTGTACTGAGTTCGTATATGTACTTCATCCTGAGCCCATTAATCTTCAGTGTGCATTCATGTGCAACAAATTCTTAAGTAACTCGTCAATTAAATAAACTTTTGGCCCAACAAAATCACCCATTTGTACAGCAGAAATCTATTAGTCATTCTGTGTTTATGCTGGAGTTAGCTTGAACTGTGGCCAAACATATCATTTTGTCTCCAAGTCTAGATTCCAGCTCTGAATTACTAATAGTTTGTGGCTTTGAAACATTGCCAGATGTTAGCACTTACAAAAGAAGCTCCTGTCAGTGTAAATTAAAACAGAAGATTCTCCTCTTTTCTGCCATGTAAGTTCAAAGTTTTGTTTTCTAAGAACAAGGCAGTGGCATTTTCTTCTTCTTAGAACTTAAAGCAGCTAACAGCTTTCCAAACTCTACTGCTAAACATGTATGCTGGTACACAAATACACATGCGTATTAGGTAGCTAATGCATAGATCGTGTATAAGCTGTTGTAGCTAATGAATGCATTAACTAATTACTCACAAGAACACCTAGGAGGAAAGTACCATAAGGTGACAGATCTGTCCTTATATAAATGATCATGAAATAACAGACAAAGCCGGGTGAATAATTACAGAACAGCAAACCTTCAGAGGAAAATAAAGGAGCTCTTGAACAAAACTGAGTGTATTTCTACACCTGTGTAGGCTTACTAACCTAACTGAAGAGAACTACACTGATTTATGTAGAACAGCAACACAAAGGCGTGCCTGTGAAATAACAATATTTGGATCCCTCGTGGATTTTCATTCCTTTATTACTACATCTTTGTATTAGTTGGTCCAAACAACTTGTGGTATTTTCCTAAATAGGAAGCATGCTTATAGAGATTTAATTTGGCAATTATTTACCCTTGTGGTGCAAACTTAAGGAGATATTTGATACTCCATTTACTGTAAATCATGAATGGTGGTGTCTCATCACACCTGGCTGTTATTCTGAGCTGATAAATAACAGTATCTTGACAGTCGGTCCTATATGAAAATTTTTAGTTCCTTTAATCTTTTTGGTGGGAAAGTTTAATTGTTGGGGAAGGTTGTGGGAACATGTTGGGTGCTTATGGAAGTTCTGTCAAAGCTATCTATCTGAGTCCAATTAAAGTTCAGCTTATTTTCAGAATGCGTCTTTTCTAGAGCAGTGAGGTTAGAGCTGCTTGACTTAATGGTCAACTGCAACTTACAAGCCAATAAATACATTAACAGCAGAAAATTCAGGTAACTACTCTTCAGGATTGTATTGTACTTTGTTGCATTCAACATACCAAGGTGAACCTATCTTTAGTCTCACACACACACTTGATATTTAGTGGTATTTCTTTATAGCCTTTATGAACTATGCTTGTTACAGTCTAAATGGAGTTTCACTACTGCATAGGTTCAGCTGCTAATAGAAGTTATTAATCCACATGAATCATGGAAGGGTGGAGGTCCGTTGGAGGAAGACTCAGATGATGTGACACTCTTCTATAAACAGCTTGAGCTGGCTTTTAGAAGACTGCATTGCAAACCTAACATGTTGCCACTCCAGCGTAGAAGAGCTACTGCTTTTAACTTACTTTCCTAAATATTAAATGTTACCATAAAGTAATTGTCTCCTGCTATGTTATCTGCATTTTCCGGGTTGACTCATTTCACTTTTTGACATTTTATTTATGTTGTCTTACTGCTTGTCCTTTCCCTAGTGTGACGATGGATCCACTTACTGAAAGAAGAAATAAATTATTTTTACCTGTTAATTTTTCTTTGGAGAAGTGTGCTTCCTAATCCAGGCTTCCCTGGAAGACTTACAAAGTAAGAAGGATATGACTTTAAAATCCCCAGCTGTTTTTTTGTTTGGTTTTTTTTTTTTTTTTTTTTAAATTAACCTAAACTATAGTTTCTCTCTTTCATGTAAATTTTCCTTTTGGAGTGTTTCTATTTGGAGAAAAGACTCCCAAGACTCCACCAGCTGCTTTCTTTTGGACAGTCGCAGACAGACCATTTTGACACTGCTTTTGTTTCTCAGTAAAACATAAGAACACTTACCTATTTGTGGTAACAGTATTGGACATGCTGCTTCAGAGAAAAGAAATTAAGTGTATAATTTCTTTTGTTAAATGACTATGTCTTGTCTTTGGTTGCATCAGTTATCTCTAGGAAAAAAAATTATTTTTTTTTTTTAGAGCTATGTTATGGTACACTTTTAGCAAAGTAAGTTTTTGAGTGTAAGCAACTGGTGAAATACTGTTTTACAGGTTACATGTCTTGCTTGTGACAATAAATCAAATACTGTAGAACCTTTCTGGGACCTGTCCCTGGAGTTTCCTGAGAGGTATCACTGCAACGGCAAGGAGATGTCATCTCAGTATCCATGTCTGCTGACAGAAATGCTGGCCAAGTTTACAGAAACTGAAGCTTTGGAAGGAAAGATATATGCATGTGATCAGTGCAACAGTGAGTAAAGGCAGTATGTACTCATGCATATGTTCTCTGTGTAAAATATAAAGTAAACTGACTATGAAAGCATGGAAGGAAAATACTAAAAGTCTTAAAAGTATGTTGCAAAGGAAGTCCTAGTGTGGTCACTTGACAGCTATTACTCACCATCTAGAAGATGGAATTGTTCAAAGGGTGTTTTAAATTGTGACACTTCTCTTATCCGATCACACACTAATGGGGATTCTGATACTCCCAGCTGAAGAGCCCATCAGCTTTTTAAATTAAGGTGACTAACATAAGTGACCACAAGTATTTTATACTTGCATCATAAAATAATCCTTGCAAAATGGCTCTCAGAGTGTATCCTTTTTAAGGAGGCACATAGAGTAGCTATTTAGGTCCACAGAAATTTGGTGGATAAATCTTAGAAATACAAGGCTGTTATCGAGATTTGTATTGTGTAACTGTGTGTTTGGCCTCAGCAAAACGAAGGAAGTTTTCTTCTAAACCAGTTATACTCACAGAAGCTCAGAAGCAGCTTATGGTGTGTCGACTACCTCAGGTTCTCAGATTACACCTTAAACGGTTTAGGTAAGTAGTACTACAATAAACAGTGTTGCAAACTGACCAATTCAGTCCTGCTCTTCCATTGTTTGGGATCAATGTTTTTCAGCATCAGTTTCATTTCCCTTTACTAGTATGATGAGAAATAGTTATTAGAAACTTCTTTTTCTTGTTTAATTTAAACATCAATAAGATACACTATAAGTAGAGAATTGACCTTTTGGATTCCAACTACTTGCTACTTTAATACCAAAATCATTTCATCCTTCTTTTCAGTGAAAACCTACTAACCTTGCTGTGAACTCGGTTGGTAAAAATTAACCTTGTGTTATCTTCAGGTAGAGTAAATGCTCCTATTCACTAATGTACAAGTAGAGATTGTATTCAGTGGAAGTCTCACATAACCTTCATATAACCAAATACATTAAGGCATTAGCCTGAGAGTAAGGAAGTGGAGACTGCATCTCTGTGAACTCTTAGTCCATGCATTAGTACAGAGTCTGTCCCAAATACAAAGGAAACTGAAAATGAGATAGAATAAATGAGAAATACCAATGAGAGATAATACCTGGGAAGTACTTCCCGCTCACCATTACACAGATCTTAAGATGGATATTTCAGAAGATGAGAATAGTAGGTACCATAGACACATTTTAAAAGGCCTTGAAATAAAGGAGAAGTGAAAGAGGAAGCCTAGGAAAAAAGTATGCAAATTAGCATTTACTTTGTGCACAAAGACAATAGTGAAGATAACACTTGCTATGTTAAAACATAATTCAGAATGCTGTGTTCTTTCTTTGAAAAAATGTAAGTTTTCATTTGACTTAACTTTCCAGGTGGTCAGGACGCAATCATCGTGAGAAGATTGGCGTACATGTTAATTTTGATCAAATGCTGAACATGGAGCCTTATTGCTGCAGAGAATCCCTCAAGTCCCTCCTGCCTGACTGCTTTATCTACGACTTGTCTGCTGTGGTAATGCATCACGGGAAAGGATTTGGCTCAGGGCACTACACTGCCTACTGCTACAATTCAGAAGGAGGTGGGAACCAGCTGTGAAATAAGGAGTGTGGGAGAAAGGGGTGTTCGTAATTCTAAACTGATAAGCTTACCGTCTTTTCCCAAACACAAAAGGGAGTCACTTGCAGCTGAACTGCCTGGGGTGAGAATTGCAGTTCTGTAGCCCAAAACAGTTCTATTTTTGTATTGGCTTGTTAAATGTGTTCTGGCTATAAACCCTCATAAATCTGAGGAAGGCTGGGCTTTTAAAATGTAGAGGCAAATATACTAGATCAACTGAAACAGTATAGTATTTCTACACAACTTGTTAAATGGGACTTGCTAATTAATTATTAAATACAATGCAATTACCTCAAATCAGTGTCCTGATGACTTTTTTGATGTATTTCTTCACTGCAGGATTTTGGGTACACTGCAATGATTCGAAACTCAACATGTGCACTATGGAAGAAGTATGCAAGGCTCAAGCTTACATTTTGTTTTACAGCCAACGGCTTACTCAGGCAAATGGACATGGTAAAATACCATGTCCTAGCACAGCTGAAAGTCAGCAGCACACAGAATTAGCTGACTGTTCCATGGACAACAGTAGCAGCTAATCCAAAGCCAGTTAACTGTGTGTATGGTAAAAGTTTGAATTGTCATAACTATATATTTTTGAATGAAATGAAAGTACAGTATTGTACTTTTTTTACTTTGAATCTGTGTACAATGTTTATATACTTTTGTATTAGTTAAAGTACTCTTTACAATTGTTAGTAAAAGTTTTTATTGACAGTAAGTAACTTTCTAAGTACCTAGAATTTCAACACAGCTATTTTTTTAAGAAAAAGATTGCTATTTGCATTTAACTCTTACCTCAGGCTGTTTTTTTAAGCTGGTTTTGTATTTTGATAATCTTTTTGAATTGGTTTAGAAAAATGACTTTCAATGGGCAACTGATGTTTCTCTGGTTAATTTTCTATATATGCTTGTGTACATTTTATAGCATAGTTCTAATGATATCATGATTCTTACTGTCCACAGGAATTGCTACTAGGTCTTAGAATATTAACATTCACCAGCAAGGAATGTTTTACATGTCAAATAGTAACTGAACTTTTTGTAGGAAACTTCTTTATGACTAAAGTGAAATTATTTTACAAGCTTCAAAGGAGCCTTCAGGGGAGCTAGACTAAAGATACATTGATAGAATTTCTTAAAATCTGAAATTAAGGAAATGGAGCTTGTACTTATTTTCATGTAAGTATGCAAGAGGAGCATTTAATAGCACAAGAATGTATCATCTTTACCAATACTTCCATGTTGTAGCCTTAACAAGTCTGACAACTCAAGTGCCAAATTCAGAGTACTAACTTTGATGATCAGGGGCTTTTTATTCCAATAACTTAAAAAGCTTTCTTAAAAAAAACCAACAAAACCACACTCACCCATCCCACTGTCATTGCTACAAGAATGTTAGCACCCTCTTTCTTGCATTGGACAAGCTTACTTTACTTTAATTCGTGGCAAGTGTTGTCTGTTTCAGTAATCCCTAGCATAAACCACTGAAAAGAAGCTGTAAAACTTGTATGAAAGCATTTTCAATCTGACTGGTTTCATTAGCTACAACTGCTGAACCTACCACTAGCATTAACAGAACTGTGCATTGAGGAGAATCTAACAAGCAGGAATTATCAGTCTTTCTCCACATACAGTAGTTAATGCCAAGTAAATTTTAATTGTGAAGTTATTTTGCATAAGTCCTATGCAAATTGTTACCTCATCTTCTGCAAAGTTTATACCTCAATAAAATGCCTTGATGTGGACAGAAAACCATGCGAATACTGGAATTAGTTCCTGCATTATCATTACAATCTTGGGGTTTTTTAAAATTATTTTTAAACTTTGTCTAACATGGGTTAAGGTATTAACTGTAAGACTGCTTTGGCCATCTGTCACTGATTTAACAGCTGGTTTTATTAATGACTTTTCCTGCCATTTCTATCTAAGTTTCTGAAAGATGCCATATTATGGCAAGCACATAGTGGCCTCAGATCACAAACTTTCTTTGCTTTATGCTCATCCTAATTAAGTCTGCAAAAGCAGGCTGGTCCTTTTCTTTTTTAAGCCAAGGGCCACCTGCTGAAGTGAGATGATCTGACAAATCTACTTGTTATGGCTGTGCGGTCTTTCAAATACTTTCCTTCTCTGCTGTCCTTTCTGGTGAGGAAATGAATGTAGTTTAAACATTTCTACTTATAGGTAGTTCAGAGGAGTAGAAAGGAAGGAGAAAGAGTTGTGCTAATTTCCTTTCAGACTTCTGAGTATCTCAACCAGATAAGCAGGGGTCCTCAGAGACTCGAGCATTAATGTAAGAGTCTATCTTGGGACTTGTAGAGAGTGATGGGGGCAGGGGGACACACACAGGATGTTTTCAGCCTCAATCATCAGTATTAAGCAGGTACTCAAGTCCCATAGAAAGAATCTTACCCTGCCATCTTTTCTAGAAGGAGTGCCTAGGCTGCGCTTATGGCTGCATTTGCTCCCGCTGCAGCAAACGTTGCTAAGTCTCAAGGCTTTTTCTAAAAGGCATCATTAGCTTAGCAAAAGAAAATTCTGCTTTCTTCCCATTGGTGCTTTCTTGGGTAGAGCAAGAGAAGGGAAGGGGAAAGGACACACTCAAACAGAGAGTTACAGTCTTAATCCAAGCAGTGGGAAGTATAGAGATGATTACTGCAGTCCAGCATAAGGATGAGCTAATTCAGGTGTGCTTCCCAACAGCTTCTGCTTTGGTTCTTAATACTTGCTGGTTCATAAGTATCTAGCTCTGCACGCTTTATCTAGAGTAAGGCTTAAGCACAGCATGCGTCTATGTGCTTATGTTCTGCCTTGCTTCACGCTAGCAAGTATTTAAAATAGCGCTCTACCTGGAGCCAAGGGGGTGACAAGGTTCAGGACCAGTGACAAAATCAGCAGAAATACACAGCCAGGGCAGAAGCCTACATCATGCTGTAGGCCTTAGGAAACCAGACAGCTATTTGATGAAAGGCCACCCACCCATTTTAGCAGCAGCTGTTCCTGGGGTCAGGGTTCCACAACTCACAGGAATTCTGCAGAGCTGTAAAGCTAAGGGTCCAGCACCTATATCGGCAACAGGGGTATAGTTAGGTGGAGTGGTCTGTTACAACAGAAGAGACCCAGGCAAACCTACCTGATGGTTCCAGAGCTCTTCCCTTTATCAGCCAAGTTCCCTGCATGAAAGACTAATGATGTGAAAGCATCTCAAGAAGCCATAACCCTTGTCTCCTCTCCACCTTCATTTTAATCTACATTCAGAAAAACAGGTTCAGGTTGAAGGTTCTGCTTGCTTGCTGAGCTGTCTCCAGCCCACATAGCTGCTACCTGGTTACCTAGACCTCCATATGCTCCCCTTGCTGAATTTCCTCTCATTGCACAAGCCATCAGTGCTTGTAGGAACTTGGTAAAGCAATTGTGTAGTAATTATTTTTAATGAAGGGTTCAGGACCACCTCGCACACATGATAATGCGCCATAAGTAGTAATTTGGCAGCCAACCACAGTGTGAACATGCACACAAACTATTGCTCAAGATAGAAATGTTACCAGTAATTAGTTTTACACGCATTTGTGAGATCACTTGCTGACTCCCTTCCTCAGCCCATCAGGAGAGAGGCTGGATTTTTTCCCCAGATACACAAGGGAAGCAGTACTGTGCCTTAAGCAGTCACCTACCAAGTGCCTTTGAGGAGAGTGCACAAAATCATTGATAGTGGATGTAGAGTCCAACTGCTCAAAGCAGGGTCAACTAGAACAGG